ATTGTTTTTTTTGTTGTTGAAGACATCCAACGATAACAATGGTTGCAAAAACATCGACATTAGGTTTTGAACAGACATTGGTAAGTGTTTTAAAAATTTTTTAAAATAAATAAATAAGCATTTATTACCGGGGATGGGGTTAACAAAAAAATATATGACTGTCCTCTCTATGTAGATGTATGGCCAGTATCGGGAAGATCTCGGAGAGTATGCTAAAAGACAGGCAAAAAAGTTGAACAGAGTTAGGAAAAGTGAGGAAAAAATTTTAGCCCAAAAAGTGTTGAAAAAGTCTGTCTGGAAAAGACATATAACAGGTTTGTTTGGATTATTATAATTAAAATTAATTAATTAATTAATTATTATTTACTATCGTTTAATTAAATATATTTATTTTTTTACTTATCTATTATTATTATTATTATTAGCAATAATATACATGTTTACTACATAATCATACACTACTACTATTACTACTACTACTACTAAATGTATTGTTTATGTAATAATTATTATTATCAATACAATTAATAATTTAGTTATAATTAAAATTATTATTTACTATCATTTAACTAAATATAATTTTTTACTTATCTATTATTATTAATATTATTATTATTATTATTATCAATAATATGCATGTATATACATGTTTACTACATAATCACTACTAAATGTACTGTTTATGTAATAATCATTATTATCAATACAATTAATAATTTAGTTATAATTATTTACATTTTTTCAAATTATTACTACAATTTTTTTTGTTTAGTAGTTATTATTAATAATATTTTTCTATATATTATTGTATTGCATGTATTATACAACAATATGTTTCAAATACAATACTTTACTTTAATATATATATATATATTTATAATGTATTTTCCAATTTAATTTTGAAACCTTGAATTTTAATGGCAGACTAATAGTCGATTCCCAGTGATTACTATACATTAGGTTTAGTATAATAATAATAATAGTATTAAAAAAAATATTTGTATTTTAGTAGTAGTTTTTCCGATCATTAATATACTGTATATATAAAAAAATTGCTTATTATTTGTATAGATTTACTATGTGTGAGAAACTATGGTTAAAATTATTATTATTATTCAGTTAATTAAAAATAGCTTATTATTATTATTATTATATTTTATAATTTCCTTAAACAACAACTATTGAGTTGAAATTATTGTTATTATTATGACATAAAAAAATTAATAATTTTTTTATTGTTTTATTTATATTTTGCTGAATAATAGCAAATAATTAAAACTTTAATAAAAATTATGACTTCAAAGTATATGAATAATTAAATAAATAAATAAATAATTTTTGTTTTCATCTGAAATATAATATCTAAACGATAGATAGTTTTAGGTATTATTTTTATATACGGGTATATTATATGTTATATAATATATAATATAAGTTATATTTAATATTTATTTATTCATTATTCATGTGTTTATATCTCATAAATCATTTGTATATTTAAATATTTATTAGTAATATTTAAATATTAATAATAATATTATTTGTTTATTTGTTTGTTTAATTAAATAATCAGTAAAAACATAAATATAACAAAAATTATTATTGATTTTATTATTAAAAATATAATTAAAATTGTTCAAGGTAAATTATTAATATTATTATTGTTTTTAAAAAAATTAACAAACAATGAATAATTATTTTTTAGTTATTATAACAAAATATATAAATTATTATTATTATTATTTATTAATAAAAAATCTACTAAATTATTTTTTAATAATTTAACTTAAAAATTTTTATATTATTTATTTATTTATATATTTTTTCTATTAACTAAAATATTTTAGCATGATAAAGCGTTTTAATTATAAAAACAAAAATTTATTATTATTATTATTATTATAAGCGCATAGTTACAAGTATTTATTATTATTATTATTGTTTAAAAAAATGATTTTAATAAATATTATTTGAATAATAATTTTCCTAAAAATGATTTTTTAAAATCTATTTAAACAAATTACTAACAATTTTGTTGAAAAACATTATTAGATGTTTTTTTTAGTTTAGATTAATAATATATGTATTATTTAGATAAAAATTAATAAATAAATAAAAAATTATATTACTTTGTTTATAACATAAATGTTAAACATTGTTTATTTATTATATTTTATTGTATACAATATTATTTAATTAATTTAATTAATTTGTGTTTAGGCATGTAATTTGATTATTACTATGTTTTTTAAAAATATTTTTAAAAATTATTTATAATGTTATTTATTAATTAAATTTTTATATTACACTGTATTTTATTTAATTAATATTTTGTAATTAATTTAATTTTTGTTATGTGTGTGTGTTTTAAAAAATACTACAATAAAATATTTTATATAACATTTGTTTTTAAAAAAATATTTATATTTTTTGATTTATTATTATTATTATTATTATTACTGTATTTATTTGTTAAATAAATTTTTTTTATTTATTTAATTAATAAAACTTTTTTTTAAAAAAAGTAGAATTTTTTATATATAATATTAAAAAAAACTATTAAAATTTAATTAAATAAATATACAAAAAAACAAACTAAAATTATTATTATTATATAATCAAACAATAAAATTATTATTATTATTATTATTAATATAATCAGGATATCTATCGTTTATATGGAAAAAAACGTTTGCCCGTATTGGCGAGGACTGGGTGTTTTTGGCACTGTTAGGCGTTATTATGGCACTGTTAAGTTTTATTATGGACTGTAAGTTTGATTATGGGGGTGGCGGGGCGTGGGGAACGGGTGGTTAGTGGGGATAGTTAGTATTATAACAACCCGTTTTCCCCCCCCCATATTATTAGCATGCTAAATGCTTATCTAATTATATATATTTATATATACGGTATATATATATATATWTATACATAGATTGTATACATGTTTGCTCAAAGACAAGGATATGGCTATACGATGACCTAACCGGTGATAATATATGGATAAAATTCATAGCATGGGTCACAATGCCTGTCCTCTTAATACTGTTTTCAAGCGGATTTGTACACATAGTTTCGCCACAGGTTTATAAATACTAAATAATTTTTTTTTTAGTTTATAAAATTAATTAATTAATTGATATGTATTTATTGATAAAAAAAATTATTAAATTTTTAAAATTCCAATTCAATTGATTTGATAGGCGGTTGGTTCGGGTATTCCCGAAATGAAAACTATTTTGAGAGGTATGTCTATATATCTATACATAAAAAAATTAATTACTTATAAAACAAATATATTAATTACTTAAAAAAAATATTTTTTATTCAATTAATTAATTTTATTTAATTATTTTAGGTGTTATACTCAATGAGTATCTAACGTTTCGGACATTAGTAGCCAAAATGATAGGTATATTAAAATATTTTTTTTTAATTTTATTTTCTAATTAATTAATTAATTATTTATATATAAACCTTTAATAATTTTTTATTTTTAAATTTATTAATAGTAAGTAAAATATAATTAAGTTTTTTTTTAATTAGTGTATTTAATTACTAAATGTTATACATTTTATCAATATATTTATATAGAAAAATATATCTAAATATTTAGTAATATATTTTTTGTTTATGTATTTATAAATACTGTATAACATAAAACACTTGTCATATATATATACAGTATATACTGTACTGTATAGTAGATATGATAAAATAGTATCAATTAACTATATTATAAACCACTTAATATCATAATAATAATCATTATATGATAAAAATATCATTTATTTACTAATAAAAAATAAAATAAAACTAATACCGGTATATAAAAAATAATTTTTAAAAGATTTTTTTTAAAAATAAAATAATTATCATATTATTATCGGTAAAATTATTAATATATTTATAAATAATTTTAAAAATATTATTTTTTTTAATACACTGATCAGGTCTTACCTCAACATTGGGTAGTGGACTACCCCTCGGAAAGGAGGGCCCGTTAGTATATATATAATTAATAATTTAATTWAAATTATATAACAACTCAACTCTCTCTCTCTCTCTCTCTCTCTCTCTCTCTCTCTCTCTCTCTCTCTCTCTCTCTCCCTCTGTCTCTCTCTCCCTCTGTCTCTCTCTCTCTCCTCTCTCTCTCTCTCTCTCTCTCTCTCTCTCTCTGTCTCTGTCTGTCTGTCTGTCTGTCTGTCTGTCTGTCTGTCTGTCTGTCTGTCTGTCTGTCTCTCTCTCTCTCTCTCTCTGTCTGTCTCTCTCTCTCTCTCTCTCTCTCTCTCTCTCTCTCTCTCTCTCTCTCTCTCTCTCTCTCTGTATTTATATAATTAAAATCAATTATTTATTTATCTATCTATMTWCCAATTAACCTKGGTCATCATCACTATCATCACCATAGTTTCGTGCACGTGGCCTCAATAGTGGCCACTTTGTTGTCAAAATTGATTACATCGTTCAAAGGCATCTACGAGAATGAGTCGCGAACCGGCGAAATGTTGGCCGCCGCCTGTGCCGTCGGTAAATAATGCCGTCAAATAAATTAGAGATATACAGTATATATTAATAACTGAACCAATTGGACACTTATCCCAACCCCACCCCACCCACCCGGTACTACTTATATATAGGTGTGGCCTCGACATTTTACGCACCAATCGGGGGCGTCCTATTTTCCATTGAGGTCACTTCGGTATTTTTTGCTGTCCGCAACTATTGGCGCGGGTTTTTCGCTGCCTGTTGTGCGGCGTCTGTCTGGCGGCTGCTGGAGGTCTGGTCCAAGGATGAAGGTATGTCTAGTACTGTAATAGTCTATAATAATAATAATATTAAATAATAATAATAATAATTAATAATAATATTAAATAATAATAATAATATTAATATTAAATAATAATAATATTAATATTAAATAATAATAATATTAATATTAAATAATAATAATATTAATATTAAATAATAATAATATTAATATTAAATAATAATAATATTAATATTAAATAATAATAATATTAATATTAAATAATAATAATATTAATATTAAATAATAATAATATTAATATTAAATAATAATAATATTAATATTAAATAATAATAATATTAATATTAAATAATAATAATATTAATATTAAATAATAATAATATTAATATTAAATAATAATAATATTAATATTAAATAATAATAATATTAATATTAAATAATAATATTAATTATTAATAATAATATTAAATAATAAAATAATATTAAATAATAATAATAATATTAAATAATATTAAATAATATAATAATAATTTTTTTTGGGTAACATTTTTTTTAAATAAGAGGCGATTACCGCCTTATTTAAGACACATTTCAGAGCCGACTTTCCCTTTGATCCGCAAGAGTTATTTGTATTTTCGTTGATTGGCGTGGCCTGTGGTTTCGGCGGAGCCGCTTATGTGACACTACACCGAAAAGTGGTCAACTTTTTCCGGACACGCAAAAGTCTGAGCAATTTTCTACAGAAAAAGTAATTATTTTTAATTTTTTTTTAATTTATTTATTATATAAAAATTATTTGTATATATTATTATTAGATATTATTATTAGCTTAACTGAAAAAAAAATTTTGATACATAATTTCAATGCAAATAAATAGATATTATATTTATTTTATTTATTTAATTAATTTTTTTATTGTTGAAAATCTTTACTATATAAAATATATTTTTTAAAAACAAAATTTCAAAATGGTTAGCTAGATGATTTTATTAAAAAAAAAACATTAGTATTTATTTTTTTTAAATGATTACAACAAGTAGTCGATAGATATTTATATATAAATTATTTTTATTGTAATAATATTAGTTTATAGGTATATAATATATACCAAAATATTTTTCAATAATGATTTATATTTATATTTTGATTAATAAAAATATTATTTTTACATAATATTCATAAGTAATATCAAATTGCATAAAATAATAACCTTTTAATATCATTGCAAGCATTAAAAAAACTATTATTATTATTATTATTTTCTTGATTGTGCTAGATTAATTTAAAAAATATATATATACTGTATATATATATTATATTATATCATAATTTAATTATTTAATTAATTTTTTTATATCAACAAACAAACAAAATACAGCCGTTTCCTATATCCCGGATTAGTAACATTATTATTGACATCGATATCGTTTCCACAATTTTTGGGTCAATATATGGCAACTCAGGTATATATATATATATCATTTATATTAAAATTGTCTCCACATTCCAACCCTATCCCTATCCCTATCCCTACCATACCATACCATCCCTTCCCCCAGAAAACCAAAATAACTTAATAACTTCTAAGAACTTCTAACTCTTTGATGACTTTTTTATATATATATATACTTAAAAATATATCATATAATAGTGTGATTCTCTCTCTCTCTCTCTCTCTCTCTCTCTCTCTCTCTCTCTCTCTCTCAATGTATAATAAACATTAGTATAATTATAATAATAATCTTATTTACCAAGAAATMCATTATCATTAYACACATACACACAWATACAYACAYATAYACWCACACATACAYACACATTACACACACACAAATACATACACATTACACACACACATACATACACATTACACACACATACAYASACATACACACACATACACACACATACACACACATACATACACACACACATACACACACAWACACACACACACAYACACACACACACAYACACACACACAWATACACACACATACACACACACACACACACACACACACACATACACACACATACACACACACACACACATACACACACACATACACACACATACACACACATACATAAAATTGTTTAATTCAATATAACTTATTATATAATTTTCAATATAGCTATCAACACACGACTCAATACAGGAGATGTTTAGTAACATAACGTGGGGTCACAACCATTCAGATCCGGTTCGGCTGAAAATGGTTTACCACTGGTCGACACCCCAAACATCCATCTATTTTAATCTATCATTTTATATAATAATGACTGTAAGTATTATTATTATTATTATTATCATTATTATTAGTTAACAATTGGGCAATAACTAACCTATCTCACTTACTCTATAAACCCATATTTGTTTTATTTGTGTGTTTTTTTTGTTGCTATTGGCATAAAAAACGGGTAGTTTTGGATGTCGATCCTTGCATCTACCATTCCCGTACCCAGCGGTACATTCATACCCGGTTAGTGTCTCGGTCTCTCTCCATCACATTTGCAAACACATACATACATCACACATATATATATATATATATATAAACATATATATATATGCATATATACATACATATAACTTAATTGCTAACAAAAAAAAATATTTTTAATATTAAATTTTTAATATAGTATTCAAAATTGGTGCCGCTTTTGGCCGATTAGTCGGTATGTATATGTCCTCTAAATAATATACAGTATATATATATATATATATACTGTATATATAAATCAAATATAATATATAATAATAATTTCATTGGATTTTTCAACAAAAAAAAATAATTATATTATTTTCATTAAACATATGGTCAACAAATAATTTTAAGGTGAATTCATGGCCTATTTGTTTCCGATGGGCATATCGTTTGGCGGCTCTAGAAATCCTATAGTGCCCGGAGGTTATGCAGTAGTGGGTATGTATACTGTAATTATAGACTACTACCTACCTACCGATACTAGATTATGACAACAGTGCTAATGATAACATTGCTCTCTCTCTCTCTCAAAAAAAACTACAGGTGCTGCAGCATTTTCAGGTATAAACCTAACCTAACTATTTAAACTAGCAATTAGTGGTTTGTTAGGGCATACATACAAATAAGTTATTTTATTTTATTTTTTATATCTAAAACACTTGAAATCTATCTATTGATGGACACACCTACATACAGGTGCCGTCACCCATACGATCAGTACTTCGGTAATAGTATTTGAATTGACCGGTCAGATGACACATATCATACCCGTAATCATAGCCGTACTGATAGCCAATGCCATATCACAGACACTGGAGCTATCCATTTATGATTCAATTATCGAAATCAAAAAACTACCGTTTCTGCCGCCCATACTATCGACGTCATCGGCCGCCCATCATATATACGTCAAAGATATTATGGTCAGGGATGTGGCCTGTATTTGGCGTAACTGTACCTACAGGGACATCAAAAACTTGTTACGCGATCACCGAAAGCTACAGTCGTTTCCGTTGGTCGAGGACAGCGACAATATGATACTGTTGGGTAGCGTCCAGCGCCGTAGTCTATCGCATCTGGCCAGTCAACGGCTGAGCCGTGATCGGCGGCTGCAGGAAGTCAGGCGCCGATACTCTATACAGGATACGCTGATGATGGCCGCCGAAAAAGCGGCTGCGGCGGCCACACAGTCACAGGTCAACAACAACAACGATGGTGGTCAGTATCAGCAGCAGCCGTCGCCCAACAACACCAACAATAAGGCACCGCTAATACCGAAAGATAGTAATACACCGGCTGTTAGGCGAATGTCCCGATTTGAGGTAACACCAGTTCATCAGCCACTGACTGCTGGTGGTGGGGGTGGTGGGGGTACGGGTACGGCTACCAGTGCAGCCGGTAATCGACCGTCRCCTCGGCAACCGGTCAAATCAATTTTAAAACATACCGTTTCATTCACTTATTCGCCGCACTCGACGGTTACCTATACGACAGCCCAGGGTTTGTATTATTTAATATAAGATTTTTTTTAATTTTAAAATTATATTTATTATTGTGTGTGTAATTACCGCAAAAATTTTTTTTATTTGAAAATTATATTAATTAATATAAGATTTTTTTTTTTTTAAAATTTTAAAATTATATTTACTCTATTGTTTATGTAATTACCGCAAAATTTTTTTTGAATTATTATTTGAAATATACAATAGATTCCCGTTTACGGCACGCGTTTGAAAATATATTTCTCAAAAGTCTTAAACTTCAAGACGCAAATCCAGATAAGGTTTTTATTTGTTTTATTTKTTTAGTTTTTTAAAAATTATKTATAAAAATATGATTATTTTTTTATACAAAAAAAATAATAACAATAATTTCATTGACACCCACACCCCACCCCACCCCTATTACTACCGGTACTTAACTATATATATATATATATAGAGTGAAAATTCGGATAATAAACCTCAACGTCCMGTTCCCTCRCATAACTTGCACCGGAGGGTCCAATTAGTAAGTGTTTTATTGATTAATTAATAATTATAATCACTAATTCATTGATTTACTTAAAAACCAATATTATTGGCATCCAATAGCCTCGGGAACGGGTGATCGACATGTCTCAGGAGGAACAGGCCGTCTGGGAGGAGGAACAGTTAAACTCGATGGTCGACTTTAGCACCTGCCAGATTGATCCGGCACCATTTCAATTGGTCGAAAAAACGACCTTGCTGAAAGTTTATTCAATATTTTCGATGTTGGGTCTGACCCATGCCTACGTAACATCCATTGGCCGATTGGTCGGTGTAGTGGCGCTCAAGGATGTATGTCCTCTACTACTACTACTACTACTACTACTACTACTATAATTATGTGAATTAACTTTAACCTCCTTTTCCTCCCATACCCCACCTAAAAAAAATTTAGCTGAGGATAGCCATCGAACAGATGAATCAGGGAATACTGGTACCGGTGCCCAACCAATCCGTCCAAATTACCGATCCGACCGGCATTATTATCAATGGCAATGGCCTCCGATCATCCGAATCGGATATCCATTACGAAGATACTATAACATCGGTGGCCACTAACGACTCTGAGTTTACTACTAGCCGTGACCGTGACCGTGACGGAGGAAAGTCGGTCAGAGATAAGGAGGAAATGGAGACACACACTGTCTGATTGATTAATTAATTAGTTTTTTTTGTTTGTTGGCAATAACTGGTCACTTAATATATCATTAATTTATTTATTAGTTTTCTATACAATATATATATATAAAATAATTGATATTTATTTTCTAAACAAAAAATAATCAAAAAAAAAAAATCTAAACGCTTTTTCAATTCATAATTAAATTAATTTTTTGTTTGTTTTTGTTTCAATTATATATTGAAAAACGTTTGCCAAATAATTAGTGTCATTGTGTTGTTGTTATATATATATATAATTAATTAATTTATTAATAATTATTATTATTGTTATTTAATGTAATAATTATAAGCTCAACCTCGCCCCTCCCCCTCCCCCCAAAAAAACAATTGATTAATTTAATAATTGATTTTTTGTTTCTCAATCATCTTAATAATAATAATAATCATTTAAATCAAAACTAAATAATACATTACACCTATAAAAAAATATACTGTATTTTTTTAAAGTATATTTATTATGCAAACACACAAACATTAAAAACATACACTTTTAGGAATTTTTAAAATAATTATTTTTGTAAATTTAATTAATTATTAGTTAATTAATTATTATTAATAATAATTCATATATTTATTGCAATTATTAGGATTTTATGAAATTATTTTTGTTTTTGTTTAACAAAACAAAAATTTGTTGTATATATATATTATATAAAAATTTTTTTTTAGGATTCAATTTATCAAATTATACATAATTTATTTTTTATTTAATTGAATTAATTAATTAATTAATAATAAAAATATATTATTCTTTTATGATATAATTTATTTTATTTTTTTTTAAATAATTTATTAGACAATATCCTAATAATAATAATCTTGATTTTCAATATACAGTTTCAACAAATATAATCAACAAAAATACTGCTATAATAAAAGAGATAAAATATAATTTAAAAATTTTAAGTATAATATAAGTAAGTAATAAAGTGTTTGAAAAATTTATGATGAAATTTGTTGAAATTTTTTTTTTAAGTAATATATAATTCAATGAAAATAAAACTTTAGACTCAAAAAAACCCTTTAAATACTATTTATAATAATAATAACTAAAAAAATATTTTTTTTTCAGATAATCTATGAGTGAAATAATAGTCTCATTTCATTGACATTCAAACTTTACAATTATTATTAATATAATATATATATTAAACATTTGACTCATGCCTTAAATATGTCTCAAATATTAATATATATATTGTTTTATRCGAAACAAAACATTAACTATAAGTATTAAAAACTCGATATAATAGTCATTATGAATGAATGAAATCATATAAAGATAATAATAAGTAGTCTTATATGTAATATATTATTCAGAAAAATAGGGCTATAATTATGTKATATATATTTAGAGWGAGAGAGAGAGAGAGAGAGAGAGAGAGAGAGAGAGAGAGAGAGAGAGAGAGAGAGAGAGAGAGAGAGAGAGAGAGAGAGAGAGAGAGAGAGAGAGTGAGAGAGAGAGAGAGAGTGAGAGAGAWAGAGAGAGAGATAACGAGAAAGAGAGAGAGAGARAGAAAGAGAGAGAGAGAGAGAGTGAGAGAGAGAGAGAGAGAGATTTGATCACTTCTTATGAATAGTTTAGTCCATTATATAAATGTTGTCTCAAATTTGTTTTTTGTCTACAATTTTATGTTAATATACAGTACAGTATATATATATACAGATATATAAATTTATGCATACATATACAGTATATATATATATATATATAAATTAAGATAATTTTTTTTAAAGTAATCACACATTGTTTATACATATTATATATATATAATAAAAATTTCTAATAATTTTTTTTAAGCCACTTATTGATTGGTTAATTAATAATTTTTTTTGTTGTTGTCTTCAATTTCATCTGATTGTCATTCATTTAATGGTTGATTTTCTGGCGGCGGCGGCGATGATGTGGTCGAGGAATTGGTCCGTTTTCGGGGCAGATCTCCCGAATGCATTTGTTCAATGGCTGTACGGATCTATTAAATTGTTTTAAAATAATTTTTTTAAAAATTAAGTTTAGATTGGTTTTACATACACATACACATACACATACACATACACATACACATACAGTATAATATCCAGGATTTATATCCCCCGTTTTTACAATGATTGCATGCACGGGGTTTTGAGAACCCTTAAACTATGTTTCTCTCTAGTATTGTTGGTTATACTGTGTATAGCACTCATAACCGCCGAGAGTGCAGTAGTTAGAGGACACCCCTATTAACGATAGGACAGCATTATATATGTAGACAGTTCTTACACATATTATCTGTTTCCTACGTTAAAAATCCCAACAAACTTAGGTGGCCCGTCCATCGATCTCATATCACTCGAAAGCCGACAACTTAGCCTTTCGGCCACGAGGCCCCATACATACACATACACACACATACACACACACATACACATACACATACACATACACATACACATACACATACACATACATATATACACACACACACACACACACACATACACATACACATACACATACACATACACATACACATACACATACACATACACATACATATATACACACACACATACACATACACATACACATACACATACACATACACATACACATACATATATACACACACATACACATACACATACACATACACATACACATACACATACACATACACATACACATACACATACACATACACATACATATATACACACACATACACATACACATACACACACACATACACATACACATACACATACACATACACATACACATACACATACACATACATATATACACATACATATATACACACACATACACATACACATACACATACACATACACATACACATACACATACACATACATATATACACACACATACACATACACATACACATACACATACACATACACATACACATACACATACACATACACATACACATACACATACACATATACACACACATACACATACACATACACATACACATACACATACATATATACACACACATACACACACAAACACATAAAAACTTGATATAAATATAATTGATATATATATTAACCAAACAATTAATTAGTTAATTATATATATATATATATATACCTCTTTGAGGGCCACAACACCTATAAGTCGTCCCAAAACCGTCACAAATGCCAATTGAAGGCCAAGTAATGAGAATAGATTGTGTGCCTTGAAGTCCATAACCAATAAAATAATAATAATTATTATATAATTATATAAATAATATATCAAATAATATATATATATATAWATAAAATATTTCAAAAATAAAACAATTATTATTAACCTTCATCAATGATGTGCCCTCGACCAATTGAAATGGTGCCGGCTCAATGGGACAGGTAGTAAAATCTACCGTTTTATCCAATTGATTTTCCTCCCAAACATGTTTCTAAATAAATAAAAAAAACAAAAAAAAACCAATGATTAGCAAATTTTTTTAATCAATAATAATTATCAAAAAAATATATATCAAACAAACAAACAATAYATATATATATATAATAATTAATAATAAAATCAAGACAACACTTTAAGAAAATTGTTTTGTCTATCTCTCTGTCTGTCTATCTGTTGTCTAATAGTTTCTTTGCTCTCAACCCATACATTAATGCAAACCTAAAAAATTTTATTTATTTATTATTATTATTTTGTTATACTTTTTTAATTAAAATATATATATTTAAATATATATTTAAAGCAAATGTTATTTTTAATTATTTGCAATTTATGTAAGCTAATGATAATAAGTCAATGATAATATTATACATTTTTTTTAGAAATAATAATTTAAAACAATGTTATTTTAAATGTGATTATTTTCTGTAGTTTTTTTGAAAAAAATAATATTAGATTAGGTTTCCATGTTATGCGGGTTTATAAACAGCACTACTAGTAATAGTTTAATAATAATAATAATAATATATTTTAATAAATAAATAAATTTAATTATTTCTATATCGATTCAATAGCACATAAAAATATATATATACAGTATTAATAAATATAACACTAAACTTATTATTATTATTATTATTATTTTCGACATTGAATTTTAAAAATCTAATGTCGAAAGCATACAAATAATAATTTTCAATAGACTTTTGGTTAATACAATAAAACAATTATTATTATTATTATTATCATAAATAACTCACTCCTACTGATGTTATCTCGAAAATCTGATCCTCGGGTATGGTCTCCACTTGAAACCTTTGATGGGGTCCACCACCGACACCAACACCACCACCGACACCACCACTACCACTACCATGTATTGGACAGGTAGGCGATGGCCTCTTATTATGATTATTATTATTTAAACTACTTTTACTACTAGTTTTCTTCAGATCTTCGATCATCTGATCTTTGCTTAAATGCCGATCCAATAGTGATTCCAATTCTAGTCGTTCAACAGTTCCCAACAATATCATCGATTCGGGAGATTTGACAAACGGATAGACACTCAGATGTTTCTTCGAGTTCAGCAAATGTCTCAGATATCTATAGGAACAGCCGTCCCATATATAGTGCATATCGACAACCATAAAATCTTCGACAAATATCCGATGAGATTTCAATGGACTGGACATTATCGGCGGTAAATAGGGTAGTTTTTTCAGCTTAATCAGACTGTCGTAGATGGACGGCCCCAGTCGCTGGGCTACCAGTGTGGCAACGATTACGGCTACCAGCACAGGTAGCAAATGAGTCATCTGGCCAGTTACCTCGAATATGATTACCGCCGATGATATGGCACCTACACGTAAATTATCGGTAAATAGGATATTAATTATTTAGTATTCATATATATATATATATTTACCGGTATTAGCGCCGGCAAAAGCTGCCGAACCGGCCACAGCATAGGCGCCCGGAATTATGGTTATATCAGTCCTATTGTTGTAGGGATTCATACCATTAGGGAACAGATAGGCCATCCATTCGCCATAAAATCTGTAAATATATATATATATATATGCAAAACATGTCATTACCGGTACTATTAAAAAAAACAATCCATACCTTCCAAGTCCGGCACCGATCTTAAAACTGGGAACTATTAGCCCAGCAGGTACTGGCAGTGTCGAGCACAGGGCTATCAATAGCATATTCATAACAAAAAACAAGAATGTATTGACATATATGGATGTAGACGGTGTACGCCAGTTGTCGATAATGGGATCGGTATCTATCTGGTCGGCAATCAGACCCCAGGTTTCATTGTTGAACAGTTCGTGCATTGCCTGTTCGGCCGACATCCACGACCCGTAATATTGGCCAAAACCGGGCGGAAATGATAGCAAGCCTACAATCAGTATAACCAGTACGGGATAGACCAGCGGATAGTTTTGCAATAGGGCATGAAATCGGCTACGTTTCCTATTGAACAGTACGATCGAGCGCTGTAAGGTAACAAACAGGTAGCCACTGATACCCGACAGGACACCCAACAGTGCAAACGACAGTAGTTCCAGGGTTTCGTACGGATGATCCCTCCGGAAGTTAGTCTTAAATATATGGGTAATGTTGTCCTCAAATTGAAACCAAACAGTTAGTAGGCGCCAGAATAGGGCACCTATGGTTGCAGCAAAAAATCCCATCCAATAGGATCGGACCGAAAAAAATACCGACACTATCTCTATGCTGTATAAGACACCGCCGACTATTTCAATCAACAAAAAATAAATAAATAAATAAATAAAATTAATATTAATTAATAAAATTAATTACTAATTACTGTAATAATTCTATAAATTAATCACAATTTAAGAAAAAAAATTATTTGTTAGTCAATAATATAAAAATTATTATTTTTTTGGAGTGGGGGGGGTTTATATATAAACTGTTTATTTTTTTAAACATACATTTATATATAATTAAATTTTGTTATTTTTTAAAAAAAAATTATAAAATAAATTGAAACAAAAATTAATTATTTAAACAAATAAAAAAATTATTATTAATTAATAAAATTAATTACTAATTACTGTAATAATTCTATAAATTAATCACAATTTAAGAAAAAAAATTATTTGTTAGTCAATAATATAAAAATTATAATTTTTTTTTGGGGGGGTTTATATATAAACTTTATATATATTTTTAAACATATATTTATATATAATTAAATTTCGTTATTTTTTAAAAAAAAAATTATAAAATAAATTGAAACAAAAATTAATTATTTAAACAAATAAAAAAAATTATTATTAATTAATAAAATTAATTACTAATTACTGTAATAATTCTATAAATTAATCACAATTTAAGAAAAAAAATTATTTGTTAGTCAATAATATAAAAATTATAATTTTTTTTTTTGGGGGGGGGTTATATATAAACTTTATATATATTTTTTAAATATATATTTATATATAATTAAATTTCGTTATTTTTAAAAAAAAAATTATAAAATAAATTGAAACAAAAATTAATTATTTAAACAAATAAAAAAAACTTAAAATACCTGGCGATGCAAAAGTGGTGGCCACACCTACAGCACACGCCACTGCAATCAACTATTTATTTAAAATAATWWTTAAAAAAATAATTTTAATAAATAAATTAATTAAAAAATTTTTGTAATATTTTTAACTATCAAAAAAAAATTACATCAAGAAATCGGGACTCGTATTCATTTTGGCTACGAATCGGACCAAACAATTTGACCAATTGGTTGACAAGCATTGCCGAAATGTGGACAAACCTTTTATTTTTTTTTTGATGGGAGGGGTGGGTGTGTGGGTGGGTGTAGGGTTAGGAAAAAATACATTACATATTACACAATAACATATCCATATATTAATAGATATTTATAAAAACTACTATTTTTTTAAATTACATAATTTCTACATAAAAATTCTGTATATATTATGCAATAAACAAAAAATAGTGAATTAAATTAAAGCATCAATTTTTGGTGTGTATGTAATAAAATAATAATAATTATAATATACTAATATATATATATATAGTTAGAAATTTATATGTTTTGTCATGTATTTATGTAAATTATTATATAAATATTATTTATAAAAAATTAAGTACTGTATTTTTAGGAAAAAAATTAATATTACTAAAAAACTCATATATGCTATAACTTATAAATAAATTAATATATTTTTAATAAATAAATAAATGGTTACATACGGCCCTTCCTTACCAAGTGGTATACCACTGCCTAAAATAAAAATTTAAAAATAAATTTTCAATATAATTACTAAAAATATTATTTTTATTTAATTATATTAATTATAATATTTGAATACCCAATACAAATGGTAGTCCAATAACTTTTGCGGTCAATGTCTTAAATGATAGATATTCTAGTGTTATATTATGATATATAAGTTGTAAAAACAAAACAAAAAATCAATTGTTTATAACATTATTTTTGTGTTTTAACAAATAATTAAAACAAAAAAAAACAAAACAAAAAACATTTAGTAATCAAAAATATTTAAATTTTTCAATACAACAACTAAATCAACAAAAAAAAATAAAACCTTTTAATACGACTCCTCTTAAGACAACCTTTTAAAACAAAAAATTTTTTTTAATTAAAAAAAAGTTAACATAAATTAATATCAACTAAAAATCGGACCTTCATTTCGCCGACACCGCTGCCGGCCGCCTGTGGGGACACATAACGGACCAGTAGTGTCGATATCATTGCCAAAACCATTATGAAAGCTATCCAAATCAGGTACTGATTGATGAATAGGTCGCTAATATTTTTGATCAGCCATTTACGTACTGATAAGCCGTAAGTTAGGTATATCCCAGTAGTGGGTGTGGGTGTGTGGTATATAAGCAAAACAATTATTTAATATATGAATTATTGGTAAATCATTTATATATATATATAATAAACAGAGTACTGACAATCAAAACAGGCGTGTATAACAATATCCATGAAAAAGCTCAATGAGGCCACAATAATGGCCACTACGGCCAATAGTATCCAATCGCCGCCCAACTGTAGTATCCATAGGCCACGGTTGATGAGACTCTGGGCCAGTCTGGACTTATGTTTGACCCGATAGTGTTTGGTTAGGTCGCCGCCAGTTTTCTGCCGTTCTTCGCGCAATCTGTTTGACTTTTGCGACTGTATGGCCGCAAATGTGGCCAACTTTTCCCGATACTGGCCAAATATCAGCGACTGTTCGTAGTCGAGTACCGATCCGCGGCGTAGGCCTTGTGTTTGCATTTTTTGTCGTCAATTGATTGCTTGATTGATTGGTTGGTTGGTGTCGTCCACACCACCCGATACTTACCGACAAAAAAAAATATATATATATATATATAATAAACTTTTTTTGTTTGTTTGTTACACAAAACTATTACATAAAAATCTAATAATTATTTATATTATTATTATAAATAAATAAAATACTGTATCAATAAAATGGGAAAATATATATATATATATTTATTTTGCAAATGTTTGATGAATTTATTTTAAAATTATTTCAACAAAATAAAAATTTTTTGTCAGATTTTTGACAAATAATAATAATAATACTAATAATTTTGACACAAAATTATTTATTTATTTTTTCGATCATCGATTTGTTTCATTAGTCAGCAAAAAATCATTTATATATATATATATATATATACGTAAATAATAATAATAATAATAATAAAAAGCAATTTTATTACACATTCATTGGAAAAAATTATTTTTTTAACAAAAAAAATAATGATCGAAACTTTTTTACCATTATATATAATAATAATAAAAATATAATAATTTAATCAATGAATTAATTGGGTATAAATTATAATTAGATGTAATGAATATCATATATATATATATATATATAAATTATTGTATAAAAAAAATCTTTCATTTTTTATATATAATTCAATCATTTTTTTTGTTTTTAATTAAATGATAAATTCAAATGAAATTCAACAATGAATTTGCACTTAATATTATGTGTTATCATATGATATACAATATAAACAGTATATTATTATTATTACTAATAATATTATGTGTTTTAATTAATTGTAATAATTAATTAATTCATCACTTAATAAACATTTAATACACATTTAATAATTATTACGATTATTATTATTATTATTATTACTGTAGAAAAGCTTTCATCACAAGTGACCCAAATATAAGACTTCATTGTCGGCACTGAATACTATCTCATCCAATGAGTTGACATCAAACGATGTTATCGCCGAACCGGCGTCGCGGCCAACAATAGCGTCCACTGAAGCCAGTTTGGTATCGGCCGACATATTCCAGCGTAATAGCGAACCGTCCAATGATGAGGTCAACAGTACGTTGGGTTCATTGGATTTGTAGGCCAACTCCGTTATATAGGATGTATGGCCAGACATCTGGATGACTTGTTGGCCACCGTTTCGGACATCCCATATGGACATTACGCCCACATCGTTACCGCAGGCAATCATATGCGGATTATTTGGATTACGTTTTACCGATGTTATCACCGACATCTGGTTGGCCATCGATAGGGTTACCGCTTGCGATCGCTGATCGTATAGTTTCAGATGACCAGCTGATGTGCCGCAAACTATTTCGCTGTTTGACATCAAATCCACTGATTTCAGTGAGTTATGTGTCGTCAGACACGGAGATCGGGTTTCAGGTGACAACTGATCCAATCGGATGATTCGGAGGCGTCCGTTGTCGCCGCAAGCGATCAGTTCGCCAGTCTTACGGTTGACTACCGAGTCGTTGGTGGCGGCAATTTCCTGGTCGATATCCAGGTCCGACGGTTCCCAACAATGTCTACGAGTTAGTTGGTTCGGTGCGTACGTAAAGTAGACAATCTGGCCGTTGGCCAGCGATACGGCTGCCGACGTATTTGATAGCAGATTGATTTGGCGGACATCGGCCCCGACGGTAGCGTCCGTTTCGCACTTGAGCTCGACATTCACGTCGCCGCCGCTACTGCCGCCAGTCTGGACACTGGTCCACACCGATAGTCGATTGTCCGACTTGTATTGGCCGTACGTACCGCACAGCCATCTGAGACCCGATTTGTGAGACAGCGCACTGGCGCCGCCCCGATGGTCATCGACGCCGGTAGACAGCCATCGGGTTCGGGCGACACGGGTAGCGATGTACTCGACAAACATTGTCAGTGTGTATGTGTTTGGTCACCGATTTGATGGCCAGTTGTCCCTACGGTTCACTATATTTGACAGTCAATAGTCTATTGTTAATACAATTATAACTTAAAACACATTCAAAACAATTGTGTGTTTATATCACGTGTTTCTATGTTATAGCGGTTTGCTATACAATACTAGAGTAGAGAAACTTATATTTATTTATTTATTTGAACATAAAAACACCTACAAAACCGAAACCATGTTTTTTTACTATTATTTTATTTTTAAATTATATTAAATTAAATGTAATAAACTTATAACTTATAAAAAAAATTTTAAGTTAACGATAAGTTTAAAATAAATAATTTTATGATATTTTACTTAATTATAAGTAAATATTTATTTATTTTATTTTTCAATTCAAAAATCATATTATATAGTGATTCAAACCGCGTTTTTTTGGTATTCATATATGTTTTCATATCTATTATCTAAATAAATAAAATTGTTTACACTATAGCGCTATCTATCGATACGTAAAATTTAATTCAAACTTTTAGTATTAAATTTAAAAAAAAATATTTTTATATTTATTAAAAATAAAATTTAAATTGAAATATTAATATTATAATATACTAAATGTTAATTTAATAAATTAAAATAAAATAATTAATTAATATCACACTAGTTATTTATTTATCATCATCAATTATTTTTTTTTGTGTTTCAATCAATTAATTATAAAAAAAAAGTTTCAATAATATAAAATTACATTTTTTTTTTATATAAATTCAGTTACAATAAAATGTTTATCACATTTTTGTTTGTTTTTTTTCTCTATATATATATATATTTTTAAAAAAAACATATCAAAGATTTTACAACTAGATTATTACAATAATATAAAAATTAATTAATTAATTTAAATTATAGTTATTTAAAATTAAAACAAAAATATAATATTTTCGGTAAAAAACAATAATAATAAATAATAATAATAATAAATATTTGATAAACAAAATAATTAATTATAACATAGAAATTATTGACTATTTTTTCTTAAAAAAAAAAATAAATAAATTAATTAATTATTTATATATATAAGTTAAGATCAAATTAAATATATTTGAAAATCAAATCAAATATATCTATTGTCGAGAATCAGTAGCCGATTATTACGTACCAAACGTTTATATTCTTGGCTACCGATTCTCAACAGCGATAACAGTGCCAACAGATCGGCTAACATAACCATATAGAAGACATTGGACCAACCGGTTTGCGATACCCGGCCAGCTAGTAGTGGTCCGATAGCAGCGCCTGGTTWWTGAAATAATAAAAATTAYTTAAASTATATATAAATAACTAACAAATCACTTCACTTACCTATAGAACCGGTRCCGTCGATAATAGCCGTAACAATGGCCAGTGCCTGACTGTTGGCCAACTTTGTTCCCAATTCGGCCGATACAGTGGTCGATATCAGTGCATAGGGACCGTTAACAAAGACACCGGCTATTAGCTGAAGTACTATATTACTCATATCACAGACACTTCCGTATAGTTGATACAGAAATAACTGATCCAACAAAACATAAAAAACAAAACAAAATTATCAATCAATTGATTTGAATATATAGGACTAAAACAATAAGAGACTACTAACTGATGGAATGGCAAAAGTCAACATAATTATACAGATCAGAGCACTGGCACCCGTCCTGTCCACTAAATGGCCGGCCAGTATGGCACCGRCAATACCKCCCAAATCGAACGGTGTGGACAGATATGCCGAACCCGATGATGAAGAGTCGGCTATATAATTGCAATWAAATCAAATCAAAAAACATATTAAAATAAAAATATTTCTAAAAAAAATAAAATTTTAAATATTTAATTAATTACTTGAAAACCCGATATATTTCGGTAACCAATATAGGAATGTATAGCTGACTAGTTTGGCAAAGAATAGACACAACGAAAACTCAATGACTCCCTGAATATAATTGACAAATAAATAAATTAAATTAATTAATTAATTACCGTAATTACCGGTAATTAATTGAWYTAAAAAATTTTGTTTAAATTAATTTAGTTTATAAAAATTTTTACAGGAATTTTCAGTGCCGTCATAAATGAGACCACTTGCCGATCACTTTTGCTGCTGTTGACTATCATCGATGGTAATACTGACTGATTATCACCCGCTGTAGTTGTCGTTGACATCAGTGAACTATTGTCGTTGTCGTCATCGACTTCATCGTCCAACTGTCACAACAACAACAAAAAAGCAAACTTTCGGTAAATATTAAAAACAAAATTMAAAAAAATCAAATCAATAAACACATACAACATCTCCTYCATTGCTATTCAACAATAACTTATTCGTTGATGATTTCCTCCGGTGTTGTTGTTGTTGTTGTTGCTGTAATTGATTGAACATTGATTTCTTATTGTTATTATAGACACAATTTTCAATCAAATTGTTGGCCAACTTCTGCTTAATTGCATAAATAAAAACAATTTTTTTTGTTTTTTTTTAGTTTTACATACAATTATCGGTAATTTATTAATCAGAAAAAAAAATTAATTAAAACAGTGGTTAAGTAGCATCGGATACTTACAGTCACTTCGCGGTGGGTGTCTATGGAGGCGATGCCCACTTCTTCGGGATCTATATTCAGTGATAAACAATATACCGGTAATTATAATAAATAAATAAATGATAGACTAATTCAATCGACTTACAGGGCGTAAAAAATAGGAAAACTAGTAGACTGGCCGACATTATGATAAGCGCCGGTACTATAAAACTGAGTCCCCAATTAGTTTCGACATAATAGCCGGCAATTAGAGCACCGATAATATTGCCGACATTTGTATGTGAATTCCATATACCGAATATCAGGCCGCGCGACGACTTGCCAAACCAATTGCTTACCGATGATACTACTGCTGGCCAACCGGTTGTCTGGACGGCACCTGAAATATGAGATAATAATAATAATAATAATAATAGGGTTATCGGTAAGTCATAAAAAAATGAAAATAAATAAATTCCCGATAATTTACCGCAAATTATTTGTATAACAATAAAATAGTTTAGCGAATGTATATCATAATAGTAGGCACAGCCGAGCAAAGCGGTCATCAGACCCGATAATAGCATTCCCGTACCGAGAAATAACCGCAAATGACTTCGTTCGGCCAGAAATCCCGATACAAACATACAGATGGCGTACGAAAACAGAAACGAAGAGTCGAGAAGACCTTTTAAGAATGACAAGAAGAAGAAGAAGTGGTAATCAATACTTAAGTGACTTAAAGTGATAGTCATATCTGATGGCAATCTATACCTAACAGTGTGTTGGCATCCGAACCGCCAAACGGTTCCCAATTACACCAATTGGGGTCATCATTGTCATCATAGACGGCATCACCGCCACCACCAGTGGCCAGGCTTTCGCCGGTGGCGTCCAACAGTTGCGAACAGTTACGGCTGAAGACATTTTTCACAACACTYAGCGGCCGTCGGGACATATGAAAGGCGGCATAGGATACAAATGTCAAACCGAGGACAAGTAGCCGATAAGTGGACAGTTGGTAGTGATTGTGATGACGTTGGTATCGATGGTAATAACGGTTGCCTAAGAAGCGCAAACCCATCGGCAACGATGATAATACAGCTGTTGATGGCATCMTATAGGAGGAGGAGCTRATGGACGGCCAGTGCGGGCGCGGGTATGCAGTTAGTGGACAGTTGTCGGTGTCTTATATGTGTCGATATATCGGTGATGGTTTAATAACCCGTTTTTTCTTCAGCCGCGGCTATTGTACTGTCATATTACCGGTCGATCGGTAATCGGACACATCATCGACGTCGACACCCTTACACTATCAGTGATTATAATACCTGTAATAATAATAATAATAATAATAATAATAATTAAATAATAACATCACGTTTTGCTTACTTTTTTTGTTGTTGATATATTATTGAATATTATTATTATTATTATTATTATTACATATCATCGCACAGTTAACTAAATAATAATAGACAAGTCATACATACAGTACTGTACAGCTAAATGATGATCACGTGATACAATAGCGATACCACATGTAWATTGTTATTACCAGGGTTTTAAAAATGGCAGGCATTAACAATAGATGCCTATTTTGCCAAATGCCTGCCCTGCCTCTGCCATGCCCTGGGCATCTATTTTCAGGTGGTGACACCTATTATTTTAATTATATATTATTAATTAATTTATAAAACATTGTTTTTATAATATATTTGCTTGTATTTTTGTTTTGTATAYCTTTAATTAAAAGGTAATATCATTGGAAATAAGTAAATTAATTGTAAATTTAATTAACACGTTAAAAAACACAAAATTACATTATTTTTATAAATACAGTTGCTTTTTAGCAATTTAATTCGGCAGGCAAATAAAATAGATGCCCAAAATGCCAGGCATTTATGGCATCTATTTGGGCATTGCCARGGCAGGCATTTATTTTCTTAAAACCCTGGTTATTACTAGTGTAGTGTAAACATTATATTTATTATTATTATTATTATTAGGGTTCAATGCAAATTCCCATCCCTCGTTTATATGTTCCCTCACCCACAAAAAAAAACTTCCCTATATATATTCCCTGGGCTATTTCCTTGTGCTAAACCCCCCCCACCCCCCCCCTATAGACAACAACAAAAATTTTTGTTTATAAGATTTTAATAATATATATATATATATATATATATATATATATATATATAATATATGTTTCTTTCAACACTTATTTTTTTAAAGGAATTATTAAATAGTATTAATAAATTCATTGAAATTTATTTTATTTTATTTTATAAATATTTCAATTAAATTTTTATGAACAAAAAATTAATTTTTTGGTAATTTTTTTTAATTTTAGAAATAWAAAATWAWTTTTYCTTTCTAACRGACTATRGAGRRAATATTGAAAATATTTACCGGGAAAATTGKAGRTATTTTTATTTTGCGGWAAYTTCCCTCCCTGGTAAAGTTAYCCAAACTCTAATTATTATAATAATCTAAAAGTTTTGGCAACTTTCCAATKGAKTGGATGAATAAAATTCTTTCAATTTTTCCAGGAAAATAGTGGGGAAAATGTTTTTATTTTCCAGGAAAATAGTGGGGAAAATGTTTTTATTTTCCAGGAAAATAGTGGGGAAAATGTTTTTATTTTCCAGGAAAATAGTGGGAAAATATATTATTTTCTATTCCTAACAACCTATGAAATAAAACAAATTTATTTTCAAAAAAAACTTGAAAAGTTTTGTTTTCTGAAATCTATACGAGCCTTTTTAGTGTGTGTGTCTGTCTGTAGCATTTCATTTTGCGAATTTTGAAATTCTGACTTCAGATTCGGTTAAAGGACTACTAATAATCTATTGAAAAGTTGTATTAAAATTTTGATATCTCTTCGGGAACATAGAGAAAATGGCGGCCAAAATAAAAAAAATTTAAGAAAAATTTTTTAAAGTATAGATTTGAATAAAGCATCAAAAATAAGCATAACAAATATGCATTAAAATTTTGATATCTCTTCGGGACCATAGAGAAAATGGCGGATAAAGTAAAAAATTTAGGTAAAAATTTTAACGTTTAGATTATCGTTTATATAGATCATCAAAAATAATATATAATAAATCAGCATTATTTTTTTCAAAAAATGGCGGCAAATGTATAAAAAAAGAAATTTTTAACGTTTACAATTGTATAGAGCATCAAAAATAATGTAATTATATAAATCATTTGATACTAGACATGACTATAGTTGAGTTTATTTTGGCATACTGAATTATTTGATACATCACATGCCTAGAATTGAGTTTATTTTTGCATACTGAATCATTTGATACTCTACATGACTAAAGTTGAGTATATTTTGACATTGTCATATTATATGTATTATACAATATAGCCGCTATAATTATACAAACTAATGGTTTTCAATGATATTCAAGTTTTTCTCTGAAAATGCTTTCTAGCATTCTTAACTGGTTTATTTCTACAATAAATAATCCGAAAAACTTATTATTTTTTATTGCATAAAATTTTATTTATTTTTAAAAATATATAATTATATTTTATATTTAATTTAATTTTTGCCAATTTTCTACAACAAATAAAACGCTAATTWAATGATTTTATTTTAKCCACAATTCATAGGTTTCATTGTTTTATTTWTTTTAAATACAATWGTTRTTTACAAACAATTAAATAATTAAAATTTATGTTATTTGRATAYTATTTAATATACAGTATATATATTMATTTATTTTTTAAAAAATAAGATAAAACATTTCTAATAATTTTTTTAAATAATATTTTTATTATTATGTCAACTTATTATSAAAAATATGATTTTATAGTTTTTACTTATTATATGTATTATTATTTTTTKWTWTTTTGGCACAAAAAAAATGTTAAACTAAACAACAATTATAATTGGATTAATAAATAAGATAAACTAATATATATATATATATATATATATATATATATATATATATATATATATATATATATTGCAAGGGAAGTGGGGTTATCCCGGGTATATGTTATATGTGATCACTTTGTGAGTGTTCACTAACCCGTGATGTAAACCCTACTATTGCTTAAAGACTAAGCCCTTACGTTGCTCTGCACGTACCAGCATTATCATCTCTATCGGCGTGTGGCTTAAGGAGCGAGCGGATCTCCTATCACTGGTTGTGTACAAAGCTATATGTGTTGATTTGTTTAGTATTTAGTCGACCGACTGTTTTAGTTTATACTGGTTCTTGCATAAACTATTCGTATAATACTACCGTACGGATTCCCAATTGATTGGTACAAAATCTCAAGTCTAGTCACCCGGGTCAGTGGGCCTAACCGGGTCAGTGGGCCTAACCGGGTCAGTGGGCATACCGGGTTAGTGGACCTGTTGGAGCTGTCTGGCATGTCAGAGCCGTTGGGACTGTTATAGGCCAGTCGGTCAGTCTGATAGTAGACTAACGTGTCTAGTGACATAACCATATCTGAGCTAACCTATCATAGCGCTTAATACTGCATACCATATAATAGGTTACTCAATAATAAGGTTTACTCAACGTCGTCACATGTCAACACTAGTCTTTGGTCGGACCGGTCAGATCCTACCGTGTAGCGGACACAGTACCGGAGTTCCCTTTTAAATAGTATTCGCTTACGTAATAAGTGGTCGATTCCTATCGGCGCGGCGTTCGATTGCTGTCCTTTATGTCCCATATGTAATCCATAACGCAATCCGAGACCACCAACCACGATGAGTAATTAATACACAAAAAGTAATATACAAATACTTTATTTTATCCTAGAAACAGTTATACACTAGCCCTCTAAGACGAGAACTCTCAGGAGAGAACTCTCGAAAGAGATCTCCGAAGAGTACTCTGAAGAGAACTAACTTTGATGTCTAAGAGACACCACTATTTATACTAAAGTGTACGTGAGAAATAATTAGGTCGTATTGAGTCAGCTTTAATCCCTATTCTAAACTGGGCGTAAACCATTCATTTTTCTGTATAACATTTCAATACATTATTTTAACAGTGAAATACTAAGTAAAAATAAAATAAAACTTTGTTAAAAACTAGGCGTTTACTATTCACTTTTCTGTATAACATTTCAATGTATTTTAAGATTGAATCTTAGTTTAGTATTAAGCAAACCTTGGTTTGCAAATATAATTATTTAAATAAAAATAAAATTAAGCGTTGTGTTAAATTCACTTTAGTAAATTTAAACACAAACAAAAATCACATTTGTATTGAAATAATTATAGCTTTAAAACACTAATCAGTATATCATTGAATGGTACTGTCTACCTATAACACTTCCGCCCCTTTAAGTCTGCATCTGTCCTCAGATGCGTAATTAAGAAATTACGTTTGACTTATAACTATCTCTCATGTACACAATAGTTTACAACTAATTTTTATAAACTTAATGTAAAAACCCTTTAACTAAAATAACTAATTATATAACTAAATTTGGAATATCTAAATTCTAACTTGTATTATAATTAATTCTTATCGATGTCCGTATGTTAGTTAACGTGATTTCTTGATAATCTTATTTTGAGTTGATCAACATCATAAACATTATCAACCAATGTAATATGCGATTTCTTCTAATCAACTTCAGCTTCTTATCGATTTATCCATTTCATAATAAACTAACTATATTCCAATATTCGTATACCAATGTACACTAAAACTGTTATTGGATTCCTTAAATTATGCTTCAATCAGTTTATAAAAATGGACTATGTTGATAAATTATTTTGTAATGGTCTTCGTATCATTATTCATAATAAATCGACTCTATATTCGGTATTGAATACCAATTTCTTTCAATTGCGATTATGTCTTGAAATAATATTGCAGTCATCTTCAAGTCATCGATCATTACATATTCACCAGTTTATTTTTCAGTATTTATTATAATTATAAAATCTTTATCCACTTATTTTACGAAATTAATTTTTAAGTTTCAATTAACATGTATTTTTGGATTATCCAACTTTTTATTACATTTGCTTTAAATGGTCTAGCCAAATAACAGAAATCATCTGTAATACGATTTTGAATTAAGCGTTGGCTTCTTGTGCTTGATTCTTAACCCATATCTGCCAAGGGTGTCGATTGGTTGACCATTATTATTTATTAATATTTCTTAATAACATTTTTTAATTAACAACTAATGTTAACAATTATCTATTTATCTCTAACTTTAAATTTAATTATTAATAATCTAATTATGATTTTCATTAGTACGTTATAGCTTTAACAAATCAAATAGTTTAAAGTTGTGTACGATTATACATTTTACTAGGCCTAGAAATGTATTAATGTACTGACTTCTCTAACAAATGATTTCTATAACAATTTCATTTTAAAAGCTTAAGCATTTTTAATTTTACTTATAATATAACTTATAACTCAATATTGTGTATACTTATTTGTTCTCTTTATATCTCAATGAATTGCCTCTATCGGCGATCTATTCTACTGAACGTTTTGTAATTACATTTCAAATTTCGTCGATCGACACAATTATGTTCATAATTTAAATTTCATTGAATTGCCTCTCTCGGCGATCTATTCTTCTCAATTTTTTGTAATTCCATTACAAAACTCGACAATTATTTCTTAATTGCCATCTTCATGGTGTCGGTCATGTGAAACTTGCCGCCATATATTCATTTATGGGCCTACAAATTGGTTCCATAGATAGGTACTAAGACCTTTCTCCGAAGGATTATGTAGAGACACCAAATCTACTCCTTATTTGTAACATCGCGATGTCAGCGTAAACGGAATTTATCATCGTTAAACGCATTTCTTTTCTGAACCAATTTTCTTCCATCCTCCAAGTAGTAATACCAAAAACCAAGTTCACGCGGCTTTTCTTATAATACGTTTTTTGGTACTAGTCTTTACATCCATATATAGATAAAGATTGCGAAATCCAGTTCCAAATTTTCTCCGCAATTTTATTTTACCATTGATTATATAGTGTGTATAAATGGAGGATCTAAGATTTCTTATAAAATCTTCAATGAAGTATCTGACCAACTGTGTTTCGTTATGGCGCCATAACACGTCAGAACTTCATTAACAAATCATTTTTCCTATATTAGGTTTATCCACTTTCTCACTATTTCTTCATTTTTTTCATAAATTACGTCAATCATTAAAATATATTGTTTGAAATTCCATTTCGGAGGGACGGCCCAATATATCAGCTCCGATTATTTCAAATAATTCTGTGGTATCAACAGCTGCAGCATTTTCTTTCATTTTCTTTAACTGACATGACTCAGTTATTTACATACTAATGATTGACTACATAGTGATTTCAAAACTTTTTCTTTAAATACTAATTGAGTTCCGAATTACTCTTTGTCATGTTAATCTTCAAGGATTTGTCTTCTGAATTTAGTTGACAATTTTTATTATCCGTTAAATAGACAATCAATATTTACATAGAATGAACCATCAGTGTTTTTAACCCGTATTACTATGTATATGCGGTCATATTGGGTACACTAGCAGACTTGCGGATCAATGACTCTTGATTCATAGCAGTCGTATTTAATTTGCCTTTTATGGCTAACAACTCTTTGAAGGCCACCTCTTGACGAAGTCGATTGAGTGATAGTATGCTTTCAACGGCAAACACACCTGTAATGTACCATTCAATATTAATATTACCTGTATATAATATTACATTTGTCGTATGATTGAATGGGTCTTTAGCGGCGATGATTGTTGTGGTGTCAAAATTGGAGGGAACAACTGTCGAGTCGTGAAATCCCCACAACGAATACTGACAGAAGACAAAGTTTGACAACGTTATCGGTAGACCGCGTGCGCTTTTGATGGTCACTCTCAGCACTACTTGATTACGACCGGAACCGTCAACTTCGGTACCGCTGTTGTCGTAACCGCTGCATTGGCTCATTGTTTCCATCGATGCGTCCGCCATTCGTTCGCCGAGATGACCGGCAATGCGGCCAAACTCAATGTGCAAACGACCGGCCACTTCGCCCTGTTGTGAAATAATAGGTACGTTGTAGTCGAGTATGACGTCGTGAACGAGTACATCGAGGTATATGTTGGCGACACCGATCAGATGGTGATTCTCTTGTAATTCATAAAACGGATCGTTAGCCGGCGATAACTCATCTGTTTTGTTACTATTGGTGTCTGTGTTTATGTTGTCGTCCATCGTATCGCGTTTTGATTGTCGATCTTTCCATTCCTCATACAGTTCTCGCATTTCAATCAAATTGTTTTCAAACTTTTCCATCAACCAGATCTGTATCGTCCGGTTTTTGCGTCGAACCAAAAATGCCGGTTCCGATACAAACGAAACCTTTTTACCATTTGGACTCAGATTAGTGGCCGGTATCTGAAGTGTCACCTTATATTCGGTACATTTTTGCATTTTGTCGGCAATAAGGTTGGCCTCGTAGGCCAATGTATTGGCTCGTACTATATCTTGGCGTAAATGGTTTAGACTTTTCTTGAACAGATCGTACCGTTCTTGAGCCCACTTATCCATCTTTGACTGAACACTTCCCGGACTCATTAGATTAATTGTTGAGCCGGAAAACCCGCGGACACCCATTTGACCAGCGCTTGGATACGGATCGAACACATTATTATAACTGTACGGTGCATATGGTGTGCCGGGCGACAGATAACTGGCCAACTTTTTCAACTGTTTTTCATACATTTGTCGCTGATCTTCAAGGGATTTGTTTTTATCTTTTTCGTACTGTTGTTCCATGGCTTTCATCGCTCCCTGAATGGGATCGTTGACCATCTCATTCATCATCAACTCTTCTCTGGCAAACTCGTAATCCATGGGCCGATCGGACTGTTTATGGTCAGAATGTTTGGGACAGTTAAGTCTGAAGAAGTGATTGTTACCCCAGAGAATACGTGCGCCGTTTTTCAGGCCAGTCCTCTCTTTGATAACCGATCCGTTAACACAAGTTCGGGCCCCGTCTAGTGGTTCAATAACTAATTCGTTTGTAACGGTATTCACTTCGATAATACAATGCTCGGGCATAATACCGATACCCGATAGTTGAATATCCTGTTCATTGGGGCATCGCTCCGTCCGATAAGCGTTTTGTCTTTAAGATAATATACTAACAGTTCATTTAGCGATGGATCGGCGTTTAAGTTAACCAAATAGTATTTACTGTTTTCCACTCGAATACCGGAGCTTTGAACAGATATACCCATCTTTTCCAGTGCTTGTTGTCTCTCCTGATGAATGATCTCTGTCTTACGGAGCTTCTCCTCCCACGTCTGTTCCATTGTTTGGATCAAATTTTCCGATTCGACGAGCCGTTCGTAGAGATCGGACTGTTGTGTAGCGTTCATGAGCTGAGCCCTTAGCTGATCTACTTCTTCGCGCAGCTCACGAATGATCCTATTGTTAGTATCTTCATTGACCACCGCGTGATTTACAATACGTTTGGCCCGATCAGCGTATCGCAGTGTCGACAGTGTCTCCTCAAAGTTATCGGCCGCCGGGCTAATGGTGGCCACCATCACAGTCTTTGAGTTGTCGCCCAAATTGTCTTTGAGAAGCCATGTGAGCACTGAATCCCGATATGGAACAAATTCTTCTCGACTTTTGCCGGACGACTGGTCGGCCAATTTGGAGATCACTAAGCCTAATGCGGTCAACGATTTGTTGATATTTGAACCCTCTTTGAGTCTATCGCCGACAGCACCCGTTTTGACCGCTCGCTCACTGCCGGCCAAATCAACTAAACTCATTTTGGATACCTTTTCTCCCGTCACGCTGACGGTATTGTCAAACACAGAACAGGTCAATGTTATGATAAACACGACATGGGATTTACTGGACTCCGAGTTCATGTTAGTGGCGGCCACTGTTCGGGACTTGTTGCCCTCAGTCATCAAGTTATCAATTTCTTTGAATGAACTGACAGCCAATGTGGACAGTCCGTCCACATACGGACCCAATAGGTTATGTTCGCTTACTTTTAGGTTTTGTTTGGTGCCTTTGGAATTGAGAAGATCGGGAACTTTTTCATTGTATATCTCCATATACGACACATTGATCTTGAAATTAGTATTGGGATCACCATTGTTGGCTATCCTCTCAAATATAGCGTCACACAGTCTGGGTATGAGTCCCTTATCGGCGTACCCATCATTGTGTATGATTTCCCGCTACCGGTCTGGTCATAGTTACAGGCGCAATAGCTTTCAAACGAGCTCTGTAGCACAGGTATGCCCATCTCATTGAACACCTGTTCCTGTTATTGTGTTTCTAATAGGATTTACGGCATCACTCGGTGTCGACACGGTGGATGTCGACGTCGACTCGTTTTGTGAGTCTATTGATATGTTTCCACCGCTTAAAAGATTTGAAGCCTTTTGTCGGATCCGATCAAAACCTTCTTAAGCTGTGTTTGTAATGACCGACAAATCAAAAGACGAATCAGATTTTTCGAGTTTCGTAAAACTTCCGCCAACTGTAGGACTAATGAAAGCCATATGTGCGGCCATCAATGTAAGTGCCGTATAAATAAAAATAGTATTTTTCAAGCCGTCTAAAAAACCGTTGTTTAGCGCTGGTTTGGTCATTAAGTTTTGATTTTTCTTAATTTTTGCCCAATATTTATGGGACAAATTGGAGTCATTAGTCAATGAAATTAAGATTTCATTTTCATTAATTGGCGATAAGTATGTATGTGTAAGTATATGTTATATTTGTATATGTATATGTATGTATATGTATGTATATGTATGTATATGTATGTATATGTATGTATATGTATGTATATGTAAATATGTTTGTATAAAATATACTTTTAATATTTTTAACATATATGCAACATCTTATTGTTTGTAGACCTCAAACATGAAACCTGTTTCTATCGCTTATCTGACATAGTATTATTTATTATTATTTGTATTATGTAACCAAACATCTACTTTATAAAAAGCTATACACTGTCTAATGCTTATATTTTTAATAGTTAGAAGGAAAAGTTTATTTCAGTTATGTTTATTTTTATTACTAGGATTTTTTGTTATTAGTTTTAAATTTTGTTTTTATGGCAATAAATGTTACATACATTATAAAACTTTTTTTTATTTGTATAAAAAATATATTTTCCACACATTATTATTATTATTATTTGCTTCTAACATGAAAGTTGTTTTTATTTTTTTTATTCATTTACATCACTCAGTTTTATTTGATCTAAACCTTCTAGTAATACTCCTCTCTAACTCTCTCTAATAATAATAATAATAATAATATACGCATGTTAAACATGTAATTATTTTGTTTATATACATTATGAAATATATAAAAATGTTTAAGATATATAATATACTATAATATAATAGCATATATATTCTTATTACTTTGTTTTTTAACAAAATAAAATAAAATAAATGCTATTAAAATTCAGCAATTATTTATTATTATTGATTTTATGCGTTTTGCATATAATTATTTTTAAACATTATATATAATAATGATTTTAAATGTGTAATGCTTACGTATACACTATCTAATAATCATAGGCATTTCTATATACAAATCAGTTACTAATTAATTCAATACTAGTTATACAATATATTTTGTTACATAATTATTTTCCATTATTTTTGAAAATTTTAAACTTTATTAATAAGGTTATTTAAAATAAAAATTTTCATTTAAAAAATTAGATAAACTTTTAATAAACAATCATAATATATGTCAACATTTTAAAAAGTTTTTTTTAAATAATTTTTGTTTTATAACAGGTTTTTCTGACTTGTTTTGTTGTGGTGTATCTACAAAACTATAATAAAATATTTTATTTAAATTTTGGAAATTTTTACATCAATAGTAAGTTTATTAACATTTATAAATGTATTAATCCAATCCTTTAGAAAAATCAAACAATTTCCGGATTTAATTATTGAATTAATTGTAGCATTTATGTAATTTATTTTACATTTAAATGCTAGTCCACCGTTGGTGTTTACATTGTTTAAAAACATACAAGTTTTGAACATTTTAGTAATATCCCAATGATGTAACCCTTTTACATACAATATATATAATACATTGGAATTTTGATTGATTTTTCTTATGTTTAGCAAAAATTGTGTATCAAATGTTTTAATAACAACAGGCCATACGTTCTTATCGTCACAGAATAAATCAACAATTTCATATCGTAAATAACAGTCATCATGATTCAACAGATTACCATGGACAGTCTCTGTATGAACTATAGCGGACGTTATGTCACCATTAAAATTGCAGATATCGGGGATTAACGGGCAATATACAGTTTTGTAAGTACATTTGTCTTCATGTAGTTTTTTCCGTGAAATCAAAAGTTGGCCAGGGCATCCTTTACTAACATTCTCACATGGAAACTGGTGATCTTCAATAACATTTTCTAAAGCTAAATTTCGAGATTTTGTTACCAAACTTTCTCGGCAAACTGGACAGTTGTTGTTATGTATTTTAGGTAAACAGTTATTGCAAGTAATATGTCCATTTCGACACTGGTATAATGGCGGACAACAAATCTCATCACACACTTTACAAGTGAGTACACTCATTAGCTTTGAGTGAGCTATCATTTTACTATAGCCTAACAAACATAACCTTCGCTATTTATTTGTAAAATATTATTTTGTTTTTGTTGTCCTATTATTTTACTACATAATAAAATTTAATTATTTTTTTTATTGTTTTAAGGCGAAGTTGTTTATAAATGAGGTTAAGAATTTAAAAGTTAAAATCTGATTATATAAATTGAGTAAAATTTTTACTGAAGCAGTAAATAATGGATAACTTTGATGACTGCTTTCAAAGGTATTTAAATTTAAATTTTATAAATTACTGACTTTTTATAAACACTTATAAGTGTGGACTGGCCTGCTGTTAGTGTTTTTGGTTTATCAATATATCATAGCGACAACATCAATATCTCCGCAAATCCTGATATTGTGTCTCTATCGGATGAGGAGTCTGTTACCGAGGATAATCCTACAGTAACTTTAATTGAACGTACTTTTTTAGAGTTCGAAGAATTACGTTTTTATTTTACGTCAACCGGCCCTTTAAGGTATTTTTGAAAAATCAAATTTCTATTCTATTTTGATCTATATATTACAAATGTCAGGCGTTCATTCTATAGTAATGGAAGACGTCGAGTTATTTCTTCCCGACATAACCTTATATGCTTATGGCGTAATATTTTAGACATATTGCCGACGAGTCCAGAGTATATTATAACATCTAACTTATTGGTTCATACTTTCCGAAATATCACAAACGGATTAGATTTTTTGAATAGTATTGTCGAAAACACATTTGGAAACATGGAAATGTATTACTATTTTACAAATTTTATGCAAGCTTCAAACCAACTAAATTTGCTTTTACGTGATTCGGGAGTTATAAGTTTATTGATTAATACTGATACAACTAGCGGATTAGATCCATTGTTATTAATTATAAAAAATAACGGTAAGTTTATTTAATAGTATATCTATTTTATAAAACTGATTTATAAAAATTATTTTGAAATATCAGTTGTTTATGTGTTTGACCCCATTCAAACCGAAAGGCGACGACGTTATTTACCGTATACCTTACAGAGGATTATCCGAGTATGTACTCGTGTTTCAACTATTAGAAGACTTTACATGACCCAATTGGAAAACATTGAAGCTTTTCAATCTTGTTTGCTATTCATTGGTTATTTATTTGATGGCTATGACATTACTAATTTTGATTATTATCAATTTAATTTACGTATAACTTTTTAATTATAATGTTTTCTTTGATACTTAATTGTTTATAATAAATTGATAACAGTCACTGTTTATTATTCTATATATCTACTATTGCATGTGATTGTTTTACACATTATAAATTACTATTTTTAGAAACATGATTAATTACTCTGACATAATTTTAATAAATTCTCTAGATCTGAATATCAGAAACCATTGGGCTACGCCTAAAGCTCTTCAGCTTAGACTCACCGCCCCACATGGGTATCTTTTATCCCCTATAGCTGCTCACCAAATGCAAGGGAAGTGGGGTTATCCCGGGTATATGTTATATGTGATCACTTTGTGAGTGTTCACTAACCCGTGATGTAAACCCTACTATTGCTTAAAGACTAAGCCCTTACGTTGCTCTGCACGTACCAGCATTATCATCTCTATCGGCGTGTGGCTTAAGGAGCGAGCGGATCTCCTATCACTGGTTGTGTACAAAGCTATATGTGTTGATTTGTTTAGTATTTAGTCGACCGACTGTTTTAGTTTATACTGGTTCTTGCATAAACTATTCGTATAATACTACCGTACGGATTCCCAATTGATTGGTACAAAATCTCAAGTCTAGTCACCCGGGTCAGTGGGCCTAACCGGGTCAGTGGGCCTAACCGGGTCAGTGGGCATACCGGGTTAGTGGACCTGTTGGAGCTGTCTGGCATGTCAGAGCCGTTGGGACTGTTATAGGCCAGTCGGTCAGTCTGATAGTAGACTAACGTGTCTAGTGACATAACCATATCTGAGCTAACCTATCATAGCGCTTAATACTGCATACCATATAATAGGTTACTCAATAATAAGGTTTACTCAACGTCGTCACATGTCAACACTAGTCTTTGGTCGGACCGGTCAGATCCTACCGTGTAGCGGACACAGTACCGGAGTTCCCTTTTAAATAGTATTCGCTTACGTAATAAGTGGTCGATTCCTATCGGCGCGGCGTTCGATTGCTGTCCTTTATGTCCCATATGTAATCCATAACGCAATCCGAGACCACCAGCCACGATGAGTAATTAATACACAAAAAGTAATATACAAATACTTTATTTTATCCTAGAAACAGTTATACACTAGCCCTCTAAGACGAGAACTCTCAGGAGAGAACTCTCGAAAGAGATCTCCGAAGAGTACTCTGAAGAGAACTAACTTTGATGTCTAAGAGACACCACTATTTATACTAAAGTGTACGTGAGAAATAATTAGGTCGTATTGAGTCAGCTTTAATCCCTATTCTAAACTGGGCGTAAACCATTCATTTTTCTGTATAACATTTCAATACATTATTTTAACAGTGAAATACTAAGTAAAAATAAAATAAAACTTTGTTAAAAACTAGGCGTTTACTATTCACTTTTCTGTATAACATTTCAATGTATTTTAAGATTGAATCTTAGTTTAGTATTAAGCAAACCTTGGTTTGCAAATATAATTATTTAAATAAAAATAAAATTAAGCGTTGTGTTAAATTCACTTTAGTAAATTTAAACACAAACAAAAATCACATTTGTATTGAAATAATTATAGCTTTAAAACACTAATCAGTATATCATTGAATGGTACTGTCTACCTATAACAATATATATTATATATACATGTATATATATAAACATTTAATTATTAAAAATAAATTTATTGATAAAATAATTACAGAATATTTAATGTTTAATTTTTTTTTTAAAATTTAATAAATTGTATGGAAATATATGAGCTTATAATTAGCAATAAAATTTAAAAAAAAATTATTTAAAAAATTTAAAAATAATATTATTTTTTATATTAATATAATAATTGAATTATCATTTTTCAATATCAACAAATTGTGTGTAATATTATATACAGTATTATTGCATAATATTTTTTAAATCCAAATAAAATTTATATATATATATATAATATTACTTAATAAATTACTTTTAAAAAACCCAATCTATATTAATAGCAATAAATATTATGCTAAAAATTTATTTATTATTTAATAATTAGTTTGTTTAGCCAAATTTAATTTTAAATATATTATAAACCAAATATTATATAAATTATAAAAACATAATAATTTTATTTTAAATAATTATAAGTACTATTGCTTACAATTAATAAAAAATCGGTTTTGTATTAAAAAATTTTAAAAAACAGGTGAACTAAATATATATTCAATTATTATGTAAATCAATAGTGATTTAGATTCAACAAAATTCAATGTCAATTATTAATAATAGGTAATAAAAAAACAAAAATATATAATAATTTTTTTTATAATAAAAGTTACATTTTGATTGACATAAACCTAAGTATTACAATAGTTACATATGATTACAACAACAAAAAAATTGGCTAAAAAATGTTTATTTCATATACATTATAAAAATAAATGACTATTAATTAACAATAAAATTAACAAAAATAAAATAAAATAATTTACACTATATTTTGTGCATCTAATTCAATAAAATTTTGAATATATTACTAAATTACATAATATTGTAAATATTTTTTTATATATACAATAGATTTGATTATATTATTGTTAAAATGTCTGTTTTTTTGTAATAAAGTTATACAAAACAGGTGAAACATGTATACAAATATCATGTATTAAATGTCAATCGCAATCAAAATTATAAAAAAATAAATTATTTTATAATAAAAGTTAAATTTTGATTGATATAAAGGATTACTTACTAAAAGAAAAAAATAATATTACAATAGTTATAATGATTGCAATAATTTTATGTTCAAATAATATGTTTATATCATATACATTATGAATGGATATTAATTAACAATAAAATTAAGAAAAAATAAAAATATAGTCTATTTTGATCATCTAATTCAATAAAATTTTTGAATATATTAATAAATTGAATAAAAAATATATTTTTTCATTATTTTTTTAAACTTTTTAATTTTATTTATAGTATTATATTTATTAACACACAGTTGTAATGATTTACTGTACTTTTGATACTAAACTAAAAAATACTTGTTTTTTAAATACTATAAAATTTATTTGTTTCAATCAAACATTTTTTTGTTGCTATACTTTTTTATTGAAGGATATAAATGATTAAATAATTATTAGTGCATTAATTTTTTTCAGAAAAAAATAATAAAATTTATAAATTTTATACAAAAATAATAATAAAATTGAATTTAAATAAAATATAGTTATATTTTTAATAATTAGTTTCAATGTTCTAACAGATTTAATTAATAATTAATTAATAATATATATATTAATTATTATTAATAGCTTAATTGTATTAAGTTTGTAGTATTATTAATATTTTTATTTTATTAATTGTAATTATAGTTATAGTTATATATGTATAAAATTGTATTGTAATTTATATTTTAATTAATTTTTAAAATTTTATATAATAAAATTAATTTTTTTATTTTAAACTGTAGTACGTTTTGTTGTTGTTGATGTAAATTATATCTATTTAAAATTATAATAATAATAATATATTTTTATTGATTTGATTACAATATCAATACAATAGCAATAAATATTGTGCTAAAAATTCATTTATTTACTATTTAATAATTAGTTTGTTTAGCAAAATTTTATTTTAAATATATTATAAACAAAATATTATACAAATTATAAAAAAACATAATAATTTTATTTTAATTAATTATAAGTACTGTTGCTTACAATTAATAAAATATCGGTTTTGTATAAAAAAAATTTTTAAAAAAAGGTGAACTAAATATATATTCAATTATTATGTAAATCAATAGTGATTTAGATTCAACAAAATTCAATGTCAATTATTAATAATAGGTAA